GCGTTCAGTGCTCGGTAGTCAGTACAGAACCTCCACGTGTCGTCTTTCTTATTAGCTAACAGGACTGGAGAAGAAAACGGACTCTTGCTATGCTGGATTAGTCCTGACTCAAGCATCTCAGCCACTTGCCGTTCGATCTCGGTTTTCTGAAAGTGAGCGTACCTATAAGGATGAACGTGTATGGCATGCTGCTCATTGATTAGTGGTATGCGATGGTCGAACTCCCGGTGTGGGGGTAGTCCCTTAGGCTCGCCCAGTACTCCCTCAAATTCCTTGAGAAGCTCGCGCACATCTCCCTGTTGTTGTTCCTCTTGGTCTATGTGCGCCTCTGTTTTCTCTACTACTACTGCAAATATTTGGCCTCCACCTCGCCAAACTTTTTCAATGCTCTTAAGTCCTACTTCCTTGGTACCTTTTTCATTGCCAGTACTCAGAGTGACTTGCTGACCTCCGGAGTTGAACTCCATAATTCCTGTTTGATAGTCGGTGGTCACCTTGCCTAACCCTTCGAGCCACTGTACTCCTAGAACGACATTCGACCCAACCAAAGGTAAGGCATAGAGATCAGCCTTCACCTTAACTCCTCTGAACCTGATTGGTACCTTCCAGAAAGATTTAGTGCATTGCAGCCTCTGACCATTGGCTACTCGTACCTCAAAAGGCTCAATCTTCGTGGTTGGTAAATTAAGCTTCTGGGACAAGTCGACATTGATGAAATTGTGTGATGACCCGTTGTCTACAAGAACCATCACCTTTCGATCCTTGACCCAGGCCGACAATCGCATTGTTCGGGGCCCTCTAATCCCGGCCATTGCGTGCATCGAGATTACTGCTTCCTCGTCGGGCCCTTCAACCTCATCGTCCTGATGTGGTTCCTCCTCGACCTCAGATCCTTCCTCATCAGGGTTAGCAACTTCGATCACAAAAGCTTGCTTACACTGATGACCTGGTGTAAATTTCTCCTCGCACTTGAAACACAGGCCTTTCTCGCGTCGACGTTTGACTTCCTTGGGAGACAGCCGCCTTACTATTGACCCCGCCGGCCGATTGTTGATGTTAGGTCGTGCGCTGGTCGTTGCCTGGTTCGGTCCCGTGCGTCGCGTGTCCGTGAATCGCACATCCGCCCGTCCCCTTCGCGTAGCGACAAGATGGTCTTCTCGTCGCCGGGCTACCTCCATGGCGTTTTGCATCATGTCTGGTCGCTCCAGTCGGACTTTTGCGGCTAGATCGAATATCAGCCCACCTATGAAGGCTCCTACTAGCGCATCCTCAGACCAATCTCGTACGCGACAGGCTAGTCGTTCAAACTCCTTCATATATTCACGCAAATTGCCTGTCTGTCGTATTCGTGCGAGGGCCTCATTGTAGTTATGGTAATCGGACGTACCAAAACGTGTGAGCAATTCTCTCTCAAAGTCAGCCCATGTAATGACCAGTTGCCGCCTACGGTAGATCCTTGAGAGCCACTGCCACCATACGTTGGCCTCTCCATCCAAATAGAATGCTGCGTACCTTACTCGGTCGTGGCCTTCGGTTTCATTCAGTTCGAAATATTGCACAATTCGGTTGAGCCAAGCCTCCGGATCACTACCCGTGAAGATGGACATTACGAACCACGACTTGTCGGGCTTCGGCCATTCTCGATAGGTGGACGCCTGCGACCGCTGATCGAACTCCTCCTTATGCTCGTAACCCTCGCGTCGCCGGTCCTTGTCATGTTCGCGTGCACGCCGTCGCTCGCGTCGATCCTCACACCGTGGGGATGGTGTGCGTTCGGCATGCTCGACGTGTTCGCGCGGTTCGCGCCTTGGGGGATTGTCGCGATGATGTGGGGGTTGCTGCTGGAACGCACGCAATGTTGGTGTTATATACTTAAGCTTTGCTTTAGTGGATATTACACTTGTTATTCCTTGATGAATGAGAATTATGTTTGGTTAAATAAGTTCCACGTTCTGTTGTTTTGCATGTAGATAAGTGGGTCGTCATCGGGCGTACCGAAGATCACTATATCAGTTACTTGCGAAACAAGAATCGTTGGTTCACAACCTAGATGGAATTGAACAACCCATCGGAACGGTTGTAGTGTCAACCGTACGGTTTGTCTTGACCGATTAGTTGCACTAGTACATTTATGTATTGAACAGGATCCCAGAGAGGGATGTTCGTTTTATACTAATCGTCGTAAACGAACAAGGCCTCAGTTAATTATTGCGTGCTCTTAACCCGTAAGATATTAAATAGGCATGTGCACATAATTGTTGTTGCTTTGATTCTTTGGGTGAGATCCAAGCCGAGTCGACATACTTAATGAATTGGATAATAAAATTATGTGTTCGATGTGCTATTAGGATATTTACGGTCACCATGTGCGTTAGTATGATGATGTCCCCGAAGTGAGTTCATGAAGGAATATTATGCTAAACCCTGCAGGTGGATTTATTCCGGCATAATATGAATGCTATGAGCGAGCGCTAGCTTTTGTAATATAATATATTAATTAATTTTTGATTATTAGTGATTGAATTAATTAATGGACATTATATCTTAAACATGGGGAGGTAAATCGGATAATTATAATAAGGAGTCTCAAATGTAATTTGGGATAGGTGAGGGGAGTGCAATAATATTATTAATATATTAATTGTGGGGTTGCTCCACAGTATTAATATATTAGAAGCCCTTATCCTATTCTCCTTAGGGCCCCTACTGTAGCTCTATATATACAACATTAGGCTCTTGGAAGAGAGACACAATCCCATAACCTAAGCAATTCGTTCGCCCCCTTTCTCTCTCTCTTCCAAGGAGTTGTTCTATTTCTTGTGTTCCACTGATACAAGATCTAGATAGCTGTTTGAGAATACAGTAGAAGATTTTAAGGTATATACAGGATTCTAATCAGATCTATCATCCATCCAAACCGGAGACCAAAACCAGCAAGTGACCATACCACGACGACCAGGACGACGAGTCGAAGAGATCGCCGTCGAGATCGCCGCCAGCCGCAGCCGCACGCGCCCACACGCGCCGCCGGAAGATTGCAGCTGCTGGGACTCACACGCGCGCGTGAGAGCGCGTGAATGCTCCATTTTCTGACCGGTCAACGCCGTTGACTTCGCCGTGACGCCAGCTTTCTGGATTGGTCAAGTTTGTTCGATTCCGAGAAGATTTGATTTGCGGTCATCTGTTCGGGCCAGCCAGATCTACATAAATTTTAAGCCGTAAGTTTTCTACATCAAACCGTTAGATCCGCTGCGCATAGGTTTATGTTGAATGTTTGTCCGTGATTTGTGCATATCGAGATTCTCATAGGTCCCAACAATTGGTATCAGAGCACGAGGTTAATCCGTTATGTACAAGATCCAGATTAAACGGCTTATATTGTCTATGTGTGCTCAAGCGCAGCCATATATATTGGATTATTTGCATAATTTGGTTTTGCAGGAAGTAGTTAATCCACTATTATGGCCACCCTTTTATGTGCTTGTGCTTAATTGATGGTTGGTTGTATGGTTTAAGTTTCTTTTTAAAGCCTCGGGATTGTCGAGGAATTATGGATGAATGCTTGTATTAATTGCCTGGGGGTTGACCGGATAGTTTAATTTATTAGTAGAAGGCATGTACATCCACTCGCTGGATCTAGGAATCGATTTATGTAATTTTGTAAATTATATTTTTCGTATTGTGATCGACCGTTGGAGACCGGGCTTTCACAAAGATCCAAAGAGACTCGACACAGCAAGGAAGAAACCCGAGCCGGGAGCCAAGGCTGGTCGGCGCGGCCGCAGCTTCTACTCGTGGAGGTTTTGTGGAACTTGCAGTACAAGTCAACCGGGATTCTACTGCAGTGGGAGTTCCAGTTGGTTTAGGAAAGAGATCCTAATCCAAGGAGAATAAATATTTAATTGGCCATAATAGTAAATATTTATTTATGGCATTATTTATTTATTTATTTATTTATGCATTAGAATAATTGTTGCCTTGTGTGCATAGAATTATTTAGAATTGCATAAATATATATATTAAAAATCCTCATTTAAAATACTAAGTTGAGAAGGATATTTAAAGTTAAGATAATTTTAAATTCCTAAGGCCTCCATTTCTAATTCGTTGGTAAATCAATTAATTGATAGTGTGGGCTTCCCCGAGGATGACATTACTTGAAAATTAATTGAAGGATAATTACCAGAACGAATTTCTAAATTTAGACGGTTAGAGGAAATCGAATGAGAGCGTACGGGTCACCCCGAGGTGAACGTATAATCGATTTTGACGACCTTAGGACCGAGAAATGGGATTCACTTAGAATGCGATTCATTTCATAACCCCCAGCAGGGTCCCTGATTTTTATTGCATGGCCAAAAGGTGACAGATTATTAATTTCGTTCGTCATGAAATTGGTTTTGACTTATGGAAATTAATGGGTTCTGGAAAAATCCTTCTTTAAAGAAACGAAGAATTAGTAGAGTTGCCCGAGCATCATACTAAATTCTCAAGGTTTAAAGATGTCGGTGAATTTAAGTTAGTATTGTTTTGAGGATGTCAATATTAACAGTTAAATTCAAAGTGTTTAATCAGTAAAATTTTTTCGTAATTCTCAGATTTATTCATCATGTCGTTCAATCTGTTGTCTGTTATCCT